CGATAGACTTACCTCCACGTGGTGCACCCTGGGCAACGTATACTCATACGCCAAAAAGTCTATTAACCGGCAGTTGACTTCTGACTTCAAACTACCCCCACTGTATGCCATATTCAACCCATTTCAGAGTACTCATCTTACCTTATCTCTGCTCTTTTGTCTGTCTCTGTCACATCTGTGAATCATTATTCTGTCTCCCCTCTCGACCTTTTGTCACTTTGATGTTCCTCCTCCTCTCTGTGAAGCCTGAAGTCAGCTAAATGGCTAATGATAACTATCAAAACACCTGCCATTTGAAATAAATAAATAAATATTAAATGGAGTTTTTGGAGTGGTAGAAAAGTTGCTTCCACTTATAAACTTTTAACTTTCAAACTGAACTGAACGTTATTTGACCAAAGAAGCATTAGCTTTTGAAAAGTTACAAGGATTTTAACTCGAGAGAATAGGAGAACGTGAGGAATAATAATATTAATGGCAAGAAGCACAACTAAAATGAGTGTATATATTACATTAGTGGTTTGTCCACGCTTGTGTCTTCAAAACAATTCTTGTCATTGCCATATTATAAACGAGCAAGGGCATCGATACAATTTGAAATACTTCTTCGCTGACATATCGCAGTGAATACCCAGCTTAGTACTCCACCATTTAACAATAAGACAATACATTTTCAATGATTCGCGAAGTGTTAAAAAAAATGACAAATACTATTGTAAATAATAACGAAGCTATTTAGTTGGTTAACTTCAGATTCCCAAATTTATGAGATGACAATAAAAAGAGCATGAATATTAGCTACTTGGAATCAGGAAATGTAATATTTGCCAAGAATTTCGAATATAAAATAATAATTTGAGTTTTAAAAAGCCTATTAGGAAAGCACAACTCGAAACGCAGATGAGTCAAAAAACATCATATAAAATCTGCACAGACAAAATACGTTGGAAAGGAAAAGAAGAAGGAAAAGTCATGGAGAATGAAATACTGAAAGAATTTCTTTGCGAATTGAATCAAAACGAAACACAGTACTCAGGTGACAGAAATGTATGCGTCACTCCCACTAAATCACCATGACAAATCATAGCATAGCCACATTAATCATCATGGAGCAAAGTTATTCCCTGATCGGCCAAACGTATTAAGCCACATCGAAAACAAAAGTCAATTGTTACCAATGATTAATTAATCCTTACATAACAAAAAAAACAACAAATAAAAAAGACCAAACCTTTCTATCTTTTCCCTAGCAGTTTTTTGGGCTCTTAGTGAGCTATGAATAGTACAAGACAAATCATTTCACTTATTTATTGGGTGCATTGGAGGCTCACGAACAAAACCACATATTAGTTTTTCAATTGATAACTGTGATAATTTTTTAATTTTGGGATAACAGTAGGAGGAACTATTTCTTTTTACCAACTTAGGGAACCGAAATGTTTCATGCTGGAATAGCAAAGACTGGAGACTTACCGTATCTTTTTTATCCGCATTGACAGCATTAGTGTAACATTTTAGCGCCTCTTTAAACTGATGCATACTCTCATAAAGAGTACCAAGATTGACCCAAGCCGTTACATGACATTTATCCAGCTGGACTGCACAAAAATAGGCCTGGAGGGCATCCATTGGCTGATTTTGTTCCTGATACAGTACTCCAATGGAACACCTAAAAACTACGTAAAGAGAAGAAAAATTTCAGCCTACCATGTATCTGCACTAGCCTCCGTTTTGTCAATAGAGCTCCGATAGGACCTAAAAGCATCTTGAACTTTGTTGACAGCCGCTTGACAGCGACCTAGGAGATACCAAGTCTTGCCATTCGAAGTGTCTATTTCAATCGCTTTTTGAAGGAGTTGAATAGCCTGTTCGGTCTGTGCTAAAGAAGGCTCAGCACTGGTTTGATAAAGCCAAGCTAAATATAAAAAGAAATAGAAAGAGAAACTTTCCCTACCGAGTTGTCGCAAACAAAGGTGCTGAACGTTTTGGGACGATTCTGGTGAAATATTGGCCAAAATCTCTTCATAAGTTGACTTAGATTGATTCGTCCGACCACACACCTCAAACAAGTGCCCAATTTGAAATTGAACTAAAAAGCAAATGGGTCAATAGCGTGCTCAAAAACTTACTTTCAGTTGAACCCCAAGTGCTTGGTCCTTCATCTCTTAAAGCCTGTCTGAAATACTTAAGGCTGATGTCGAGATCTTTTCGCAGTTTGTAAATATATCCAAGTCGAACATATATTTCTTTACGTCGAGGGAATGAGGGTTGAAGGTAGAGGATTTGTTGAAATAAGAGAATTGAACTAAAGGAATCGTAATAGAAACAAAATTTCACTATTACGTATTAAAAGCACCAAAATGAAAACAGCATAAAGCGAATCCATAAAGAAATGATAAATTTCTGCATCCAAATTCATTTACAAGTCCTTTGTATTTTAAATAAGCAGACAAAGCGTCGTCATAGTGGCCGAGCAGAAGTTGATAATGACCAAGAAGAAGGTAAATAACAGGAGAATTGCTCTCCTTAAGGATTTTTGAATACTTTAGATAAAGTTCCACTCGAATTTTGGAAGAGTCTTGGAGAAGGTCAGGATCATCACCGAGAGATTTTAGTAATTCCTGTTCCTCTCTTGCTCTGGCCTCCTCCAACTTGTAAACCTTTCTTGCAATAATGCTATCTAAGTAGAAGACAGCACGGTCTAACAACTTTTTATTTTCGCTGACATCAATTCGGAAAAAGCCAAATTCAAGACTAAAAATAAAAATATGAAGACCATCAAAAGGAAATTTCTATCATACCTAATCTGTGAAAAGTACGCTTAAATTTAACCGATGGTAATAAATAAAGGCCAAAAACGAATATATTCAAGAACAATATTACTTTAATATTTTGCCAAAATAATGAACATTTATAAAGCTTCATTACCTGTCAAGTTCATATAATTTTGATGCTTCATCTTCTGTAAATGACAATGAATCAAGTTGCAATGATGCCATATCAGCTTTCGATGCAGATTTTAGCCTAAAAGCGATCTATCATATTATCGAACAGGGTATAATGAAGAAATAACGACTAAGAGTTTCAATCATCGATAAAATAACTTACCCCATATAAAAGCACCTTTTAATTATTTTCTATTTATTTCAAAATATTATTTACTACCAAAACATCAATTTGTTTCAATATTTACAATTTTATAAATGCACGCAAAAATTTACATCAAGCCGTCATAATTAAAGGTAACAAATTAGCTCACATAATGTATTTTTTACAATAGATTCTATATTTTTATGTCAATCCCATAATATATCTTTACTTTAATAATATTTTAAATATAGATTATCTGAAAAATGGATATACAACAATGACTATTTGATAGATATTCAAATCTCCAAACTCTACTTAGTTGACCTGTAAAGGAAACTTTATTTTTATTCAGGCAGGGTTTCACAATAAATATTTACAATATAATTTAACTCCCACATCAGATCTCAAGTAAGGTGTGTAATCCGGTTGTTCTTTGACGTTTATAATATAAGGTGTTTTTCCTTGAAACTATTATACCTTCAAATTAAATTTAATTTGATTATCGAGTCCTACTAAACTATAGTCAACAGATCACTTTCATATGACGATAAAGGCACTTGAGACTGATTAAATTATTTACTAGCTATATATATATATTAATAGACGGGTATTTCTTCCGTAATCTACCGCTTGCTTTCTTTAGTATTTCATCAAAATTCTCTATCTCCTCAAATTTGATTTTAATGGCGCTTTCAGTCAGTTTCTGTCTTCATTCTTCTAAAAATTTCTTTGCTCTTATGCTTTAGGGTAATTTTCATCTAGTTCCATATGGTTACACATTCCCTCAATGTGTTCTTAGAAGCTTACCAATGGATATTAAGCTCAATAGATTGGCTATATGAAACCTGCTGAGTTAAACCAACGTGGCCAAACGCTTCGTGTAATTTATACTCCAAACTTAAAATTTATTAGTCCGAGCAGATGCCCCGTTGGTGGCTTCCTGCTCTCCACTAGATTTAGGACTAGAGGCTTAAGTCATTGGGAGGCCCATATGTACCACCTCACCATATGATTATATATCGTTTGTTACTTAAGCAGCACCTTCACAAAAAAACTAAAAATAAAGATGATATTTAATAGTGTTTGATGGTGCTTGACAATATAGTAGAAACATTTCATTACAACTTTGGAATCATTTGTGGGGCCTATCAGATCAATTTATAAAATGTACAGAAGCGAGGGATGAGTCAAAGGACATGGATGGATGGGTGAATGAGTGCTCATGGGTCATAAAATGCAAGAGTTTGGGGGTCAGATAGTCTGAAACACCCCCTCTTCCTCATCAGAAAAAAATTAAACTTGACTGCACAATCGTCCCGAGTTTGTTCTCTCATCTCGCCTAATAATAACAGACCTGCTCATTAGTCCATCCTCACCAACAGGCTCATTTGAAGTTTGTGTCAAAGGGGAAGGTGGTTCAAATGACGTTGTCCTAAGGTTAAACCTTCTTGAGAGACTAGCGAATGAGACTTCGCCTGCTTCATTCTGTGGAAGATTGAGCGGAGGCATACTGGGACATTCAAAAATTCCTGGAGTTGAAGTGGAAGATGAAGACATTTGCTCCTGGTTACAGTAAGTCGGTTCTGAAGGTCGGGTTTTCGAAGACCCACTGAAAGAGAGACTAAGCCCAGCTCGAGAAACAGTGGGCAAAGTGGCAAATAAAGAAGTACCCATTGTTGTAGGTGTTGTCACTGACGACGTGGGGACTAGGCCATGATTATCAATCCCGCTGTCACTTGAGGAGTTTGGATTGGACGATGAGCCGGGTTCACTGGTGCGTTCACCAGGGCTCTTCGTTTCCTCTGCAATTTTTTTGAATGTAACTCGAGGTTGTGTCCGCTTAGACTCCTCTATATTCGAAATTGTGGGATTTCCATTAACAGTAGTTGGTGCATTATTCGTCGAGGGAGATTGTGGAGGATAACTGTGTGATTCTTGAACATTCTCAGTTAGAAGATGTCCAGCATCGGCTTCACCGGATCCTTGTGCTGTATATGGTGAATTATTTATGAAACGGAGACTTGCCGGAGAGAGAATTTCACTCGGTCTTAGGGCATATCTCAGAGCACCTAAATTATTTAATAACATTGTTAGAATTAATGTATAGTCTAATAACATGGAAGACATTTAGGATTCACTTATCTGACTTTTCTATTCATCATATATTAAGCCTAACTCTCTTTAAACTATAATTTAATCTTCCTCAAAGGGTGTGATCCAAGTAGGTCACAATTATACACATCTTTTGGGTAAAACAAGTCAATATGGTAGAACATGTGAGAAAAATGGAAAGGTAAACTACGAAGAATGGCAAACATAAAAGTAAAAGGAAGCGACTACCATCCCCAAAATGTTAACAACCTTCTCCAGGAAGACACCTGATAGATCCACACTTGTTAGCTACCCTTTTAATTCACCCTGTTATAGTCGCATGAGCTCGTGAGCTTAACCTACTCATAATTCTTCAGTAGCAAAATGCTTCGTAGCACAAATCTCGCCAATGTCGACTTGAACGCCGAACTAAGCATAGTCTTCACGTAAAATATTATTATAAATAATGAAGCGACTAGAATTAGTTTGCACTTCTGCCTTCTTCCCCAGACCTTAAAATAACTATGGTCTTGATATAGGATTTCAAAGTTTGAATATACTTTCTTGGCAAAAATGCTTGAAAAAAATTGCTATTTGCTAACTCAACAGATGTTGCAGAATGTTTCGCTGGCTAGTCTAAAACTATAGCCCAAAATTAGGAGTAAGTATAAATCTATCAATTTAAATCAATGATTCAAGCGTAAACAAGTAAGCTCAAGAGTAGATAAGGATCCGAAGTAAGCTTACTGAGTGGATCATTACTCCCCTGATTAGAATTCGACCTCATTGACTGCTGTTCAATGGGTTGTGTGTTGCTATACGAGGGATTTTGTGATGGATCATTCATCCCAAGGGCATTGGCGGTATTCAGGGAGCTCTGAAGACAAACATAGTTATTCGTCCCTGAAAATAAATAATTGTTCCTATAAAATAACTTCCATTTCATTTGTATAAACAATCCAATTCTCTATTTCCAAATTACCACTTCGACGACTACTGCCTTCCGTATCTACACTACAACAATCGGCGTTTTGCTGTTGTTGCTGTACGCTGGATGCACAAGCTCTGCTTGGCTGACCAATAGGAACTTGGCCCGTAGGAGGTGGCGGCGGGGGTGGAGGGTGGACAATATTAACCAATCGGCAGTGTCCAGTGGAATTTATATTGGCGCCCGCTGGCCCGCCGTCATTCAAGCATGCGTAAATGGGTGGGCTACCGGAGATCAGTCGGAGAGCTGTCCCCATGTTACTAACACCACCGTTTAGAGTTCCAACTGCGGGTCCTGGGCCACCATTGGCTGTCAAGAGCGTACCATTGTGGTCATTGTTGCCATTATTGACATCTAGCCGGGCCATAGTAGCAGTGTGAGAGAGGTACTGAGGGTTCAGATTGACAGATTGGTGCATAGGAGGAGCGTGACAAGGGAGTGAATAGGTAATCTAAAAGGTAAAATTGAACCTAATGTGATTCTTAGGAAATAAAAAGGAAAAAGGAACCCACTTTTACAGAATTTTTAATAAATAGAATAAGGCTTAATTTGAAGACGGAGAGGAGGGGGGCTGGGGAGAAGGAGGCCTTAGTTTGCCAGTCCCTCTTCAAGAGTTTCTTAGAATAAAGAGCAGCCTTTGCAGTAATTCTAAGTGGGCAAAAATCATTCAAGTCTGACCATTTGGCGTGGTTAAGATGCGTCTGCATCATTTAATTGCCAATTGAGTAATTGAAATGTCCATTAATCGGTTTAACAGAGATAATAACAGAATCCCTAGGTGACCAATTTCGAAGCAGATAAGAAATTTAAATGGCCATTATCCTGTTTAAATTGTGGTTAAATCTTGGTTAAATTAGCCAAGGCTCGTTAAATTCCATTCCCTATTAGTTAACAATGCAAATAAAAATTTCCCAAGGCAACATGAAGAAAATGGGGACACAGGTGGTATAAGATGAAAATTATAATATTTTCCCCAAGATAGGCCAACCGAAAGCAAAAACAAATGGATTTAAAGGAAAATGGAATATATTAAATTAACGCTGCCATTCTAATCTTCAATTAACGATTGAGCTACACTTCTATTAGCTATTATTTCCTAATTCGAATTTTAACTCAAGGAGGCTACTTTGAGGATAATATGGTTTGTTAGGAAACTGGAAAAATTCTTGGGCCGCATTCCTCACACATTGAATTAGTGATTTACTAGATTTCCAATCACAATTGCACCAACTCGGAAGCTGATTATAACTCTCCCTTTTAGTACTAACGCTATTCGACCTAGTGATTGCGTGATAAGAATGGTTATTAAAGCTACGTTTCTTCTGACCTTGGAACCTCAGGCTTTATATGGCCTAGCAACTCGGATATTTCAGTGATTGCAGACGTTATATCAATATCCGCTGACAATATTTGCTCGATTTTATTTCTTCTATCTTTTCAATTCGGCTACCACCACCACCACCACTACCACCACCACAGTTATGTTGGTGACTAATATTTTAACCACATTTGTGCCATTCACAATTAACATCCGTTTACAACAGGTAATCATCTCGTGCAAAAATGCAACAACCTAGTTGACTCATCGAGAAAACATGTTATTTTAAATAAACACACACACTCACACACACACAAAGTCATTAATTGCAGTTGATGATACTTATTTTAATTTGAGCACCCACGAAACAAAAAGTTGCATTAACAGAATAAAATCTGAAGTAACTACTAGATGATCGGAGAACGCTCCAGATTTTCAGAATTTAAGTAAATAATATCACAAACGCACTGGTGTTCACGAAGTTTAGGCGCGAATATGGCGACGAACCATTAGAGCAAATGGAAGTTAGGGGTGAGTGCTGCTATATCCGATAATAACGCAAGATGTTCACTGAGTTGACGATATCTCAACGTAAAAAGGAGTAAAAACCTTTTTAGGAAAACAAAGCCGTTCCTGCAAAACTTGAATTCGGGATTGACTAGTTATCTGATTGGCCATAATATAGCAGTATGGGTGCCCTATCTCTATGTACAAAAGTGAAATAACAGCAATAGAAAAATCTAATTGGCATTAAATGCACTTCATTTATGTTTTTTTGCGAACTCTACTCAAGTGTTCGATTTTCCCTTCCATAGGAATTTCTCTGATTGAGAAGCCTTCAGTTATCCAAATGATCAATAGCATCATTAATCAATTTTTTTTCGAAAGACCTTTTAGGTAGAAATATCTAGTATATGAACCATGATGGCTAGAAAGAACAGCATTGAAACTCTTCGTTTAAAAATCGAATATTGATCCTTTTAATCAAGGGGTAAGCGACGCACATACCCTTCCCAATTCACAAGCTTAACGGCACTTTGAAAACTTGAACACAAAGGCAGTCTGTCTTATCGGTTAGTGGGAGGTAATTTTAACAAGGGGGGGGGGAGTGGAACTAAGGCAGAGGGTGGTGAGGGGGGGCTGCGTTTTGGTCGTAGTTTCAAAAACCCCCCCCCCCCCCAAGCGTGTAAATAGGCTTATACCTTGGTAGATGAATGCCTCCAAAAATGTTATCACGAAAGTCCACTGTATGCGTGTTACAAATGGAACCCCCTCCTTAGTCTGTGTCAAAAATGAACCGCCTACCAACCAATAAATACATACACTTTAATTGGGCTTTACTATTTCACGCAATCTTATAGCCGTTTAGGGCAGGAATTGAATGGCATATAAACTGAAGGCAATAGATGTGTGGTGAAAATGAATTGAAGGACCTTATGGAACTCCTGATTTGGAAATCAATAAAAATAAACTACCAAATTATGTACTTACAATAAAAGCCATTCTAAAGGGCATATATTTAAAATTTATGTCAACTTAATGTTTTCGAATGTAAGAACATGGAACTAAATATAGAAAAACTGCACTGTTTAAATTAAATTTCCAAACAATGTGTACCCCCCCCCCACCCCACCCCCNGAAGTAGGAAAAAAGGAAGGCTTTAAATAATCAATTCAATCAATGCAATTAGGAAAGACGAGGAAAGTGGGGAATTTATTAAGTTATTCGTCTTCAAGCAATTTTCATTCGTGATTCACTATGTTTCCTATTTTCCTTGATATCTAAGTAACCCCTCGATATGATTTTAGAGGCATCACCTCTGCCTTATTAATGGCGTGTAGTACTAAAGGTAATGCCAAATGGAATTTAATCTAGTACATATTTTTCAATAAGTGATTTGAAGTGGCAAAGTGGACCATCAAAAGTGCAAAAAAGACCTCGGTTCTAGGCAATGAATCAATAATTCGGACTTAGGGTGTGCGATAGACTTACCTCCACGTGGTGCACTCTGGGCAACGTATGCTCATACGGCAAAAAAGTCTATTATTCGGCAGTTGACTTCTGTCTTCAAATCACCATCAACCCACTGTATGTCATATTTGACCCCTGTCACAGTACTCACCTTACCCTTTTCTCTACCTTTATGTCTGTCTCTTTTACATCTTTAAATCACTCTTCTGTTCCCCCTTCTCGAATTTTTCCCACTTTGATGTTCCTCCCTCCCTGAAACCCAAAGTCAACTAAAGATCTAATGATAATTATAAAATCACCTGCCATTTAATATAAATAATTCAGACTTTTCACTATGAGCTACTCACTTATTGCGTATTGTTGGACTTCAATCCATCACTTGACCTAATGCCAAAACTACTTTTTGAGAGGTTTAATTCTAATCATTCAGAGAGGCGCACAATTATTAACTAGCAAACAAAAGGCCCTTCTCATTGAATCCAGTTTGTCCAATTGAGTGGAAAGTCAATCCCATAGACCACTTATTGGAGTCCCTAGAAGGTGTGGCTATAACTTTACAAAATAGGACGGTATTTACTCCGGACACCATGACAACTACAGAATACAATGGAACGGTCAATAAATTAACACAATGTGAATAAGGCCTCACTAACGAATCTGGAACTCAGTTTGTGAGGATTGAATAACAGGACATCACCAAGTAATTCCACTTCATATAAGCTTTTGTAGTGAAAAAAAGACGAAACTCTTAAGTTGTTTGGATGTACTAATATGATGTACTAATATGAAAATTTCACTTTAAAGTGGACCCAAAATAAACTTTCAAAATCAAATGAGATAAACCATTTGATATCTCGAATTTACTCGCCACATCTTTCAATCGATTATGCGACTTACTGTTAATCGATTTCCCAATAAAAACGAATTAACTATTTCTTCTTGGCGTGAGTCAGTTTAGATGGCCACCCATTAAGCCACAAGAAATTTAATTAAGTAATCTCACTTGCTCTCCAATATTTTGAAATGTGAGGTCATGTTATTGATCGCGTTAGGGAGCGAATAAGGTCACGAACACAGAAACCTCTCGAGACCAATCAAAGGTCATTGCGAGGTTAGCGAACTCTGAACAGCTTTTAATGACCAAACTCTGTACCAGTTTCACAAGTAGAGGTGACCTACCACAGAATTAACGCTACCCTATCAAACTTATTCCACGTCGTACATTTCGGTGTCTCCTTAGCTTTGAAACGAATTAACTAATTCCGGGAACCATTCCTTACTCTAGGGCTTTGCAAACATTTAAATTAGGTAGTGTTGGATAAATTTATTAACTAATAGGTGCTAAGAAATATCTATTTAATGTAATGTCATTGGAATTTTCTGATTCTATTCAATTGGATGTTTTAAATTCTGATCCCAAACACACTAGAACATGCTGGAAGGTGTGGAGCATATGCAGAAAACACTCAGACAATCAGTAATTGAGTACATGCAATGCAAAATAGAAGTAATATGCCAGTAAAATGGTGCAAGTATCGTTCACCAATGAATGCCAATACGACGGCGCAAATGCGCCACACCACTAACTATTTAAAGAAATTAACGCTTTAAAAAAATTTGCGGACATGAGCAAACCATCGCACTCAGGAAGCAAGTTTTGAGAATCGAGTCATGGATGATTTGTTGCTAGAACTCATAGAAAGGGTGCCAGCTCACTTCTTTCAGAATTCAAATAAGAGGCCTGACAACAAAATCTCTTCAAACCTCTTCCACCCCATTTCATCTCTAACTCGAAAGCTTTGAGGACTTGGAAGATCAAAATGTAATATGGGCTTCTTTTTGAGATTGAAGCCTTCAAGATTTTGAAAATTTCAGGTTTTTTGTGCCATTCACAGATAGAACGAAAATTAAGCATCAATAAATTAAATTTATGTAAGTAATTATTTCCAACAGAAGGACGATCGACAAAGTAATAGAGGGTGAATTTTAATTTTTAAAACATATTTCGAATTCTTCTTGTTTATCAGCACGTATAGTGCAATCATAGCAGTACATATTTGGCTTTTTCGTCTTACAATTACCCGACCAATTTTGTTGGTCATTGTCGGTATTTGTAAACCTAACTTACTACTAATTTAAAACAAGTACAATGAATTTTACGA